CACCTGCCCATCCAGAGAGCAGCACGCAGGTAGGATTTATCTGCCAGTATTCCTCAAGGGTCCATATTCAGCTATCCCAGAGACCACCTTTATCCACACCCGATCCCCACGGCAACATGCTGGACCTTACTCCTGCTACTCCCTCTCTTGTCCAGAGGAATTCACTTCTGATCCACGCCCGCCACCAAGAAGGATGTAGAAATAGCAGAGGGATTTCAAAAGGGAGCTGCAAGCAGAAGCCACAGCCACTGCAAGACTTACGCTATGAGATTTAAGAAGGAAAAAAAAAAATATTTATCATGACAGAGAGGAGATAGCGAGAGGATCTGACCACTCTGTACAGACACATAGAGACAGAAAAGGAGTCTGCTGGCAGGAGGTGTTTAGACCTTTCTGACAAGGATGGAGCAAAAGCAACAACTTTCATCTTGAACTCAGAGGCAACTTCTCAGCAGAGAGCGTTACCGCATGTCAGAATAGCTCAGCGGGGGAGATGGTGGACTCCTCACCTCCTGCAGCCTGTAAGGTGAGATAAGAGCCTGCTGAAGGACACGTTTCATCTGGTTTCTGTGAAGAATGCTCGTACCTGCACGTGACATTAGGGAAGGCAGGGCAGAACGGGGACAGGCTGGCTGCAGCGGTACAGCGAGGGCTCTGCAGGCAAACCTTGGGGTGTCCCAGCTTGTTCCCTTCTTCGCTGGACGCGGGAAGGGCACATAATGTCCATAGTGGTAAGAGAATAAAGGAGTCGAGATCAAGCTTCAGGGTTTCACCGGGAGCTGTGCCGGGGTCAGGAAGGAAATGTGCCTTGCAGCACACAACTGCTCTGTGTCGTAATTCACCTTCCCTCGATGTATGAGGGGTTGGCCATGCTTGCAGCAAGACTGGGTGGCCCTTCCCATGAGGTAACACCAAGCACCCTGTCTGTAAGCTGTTCATCCTCTGTGTCTGACTCAAAATCAAATTGGTGTTGGGAGATATTTTTTTCTAGGTGGGACTGGCTAGTCTCAGGGACATGGTTTAGTGGGCATGGTGGTGTTGGGTTGACGGTTGGACTCGATGATCTTAGAGGTCTTTTCCAACCTTAATGATTCTATGATACTAAAGGCAGAAGATATCTTGAGCATCCTAAGAAAAGCGCATATAAAGCATTAAATTGAAGAAGCTGACCAGGCTGCAGAGAGCAAATGGAAGGGAGCAGCCCATGAAAATGGTCCTTGTACCTCCAAGGGTTTCCCTTGCCACCTTGCAGCTAGACAGTGAAGCCACCGGTTGAAGTGAATGATCAAGTCCTACAGTAGATCCTTGGCCACCACTGCCCATCAGCCAGTCAGGGACCCACAAGAGAAATGCCACAGGTCAACAGGCTTTGCTGCCAGAGGAGAGGCACCTTGAGAGGTCTCAAGGGCAGAGCCAAAGGCTGAGGTGAGCCCATGCCGCAGGAAAGGTGGTGATCAGGATTCTGGGCTTGGTTCTTGGGAAGTTTATTCCTCCAGGCCAAGGAGAGAGGATGTGAATGGTGCAGTATAGACACAACCTGCTCTGATGGGCCTCATGCTGCACCCAGGAGGCTGCGTTTGCCTGCGAGAAGCAGGGACCAGACGTCCAGGCAATACGTGCTGTCCTCATGGCAGACAACTCAATGCCAGCTGCACTGTACATGCAAGAAGAGCCTGAGCAGACGCTAGCTGGGAGGACAGAGTGGGGATGGAGATACATCTTGACCTGAGCGTGTCCCAGCCCACCGGGGGTGACCTTGGGATCCCAAAGTAAGTGTCCATCCACATCGTCCATGGTCCCTGACCATGGGGCACCCTAGGCCAGAGGGAAGGCAAGGAAACACCAGCATCTCTACCCAGGGTCCCCACAAATTTTCACACCAGCACAGACATGGTTCATAAATTGACCCTGTATAAATTTGGCGCCTGGAAGAAAGAAAACAAACCAAATAAAACCTGCTTGGGAAATGGCCCTCTTCCCTAAATAAAGTTTAACAATTGAAAATATGTAAACAACCCCCTGCCTCCGTTTGATTTTCTCTCCCTCACACCTACTTGCCAAATAAAAGGAATCCAAACCAGACTGCCCTTGATGCGTTAAACCCACTTTTGGGGGAGCAGGGGCGGGCACTCGCACAGGAAATAAAAACACAACGCAGATTGCATTTGGTAGCACCTTTCCTGTTCACTCGCCAAGGCATTTCCCAGCATATGCTAACATAAAATAAAACACACTAAAAATAAAACCAAGCTAAAAATAAACATAATGGAGGAAATGAACTATGTTCCCCTGGTTCAGTATATAGCCTGTACCAAGGAAAACAGGAGGGACTGTGGCTCAGTTTTAAAATACAAAGAAAACGATGAAAGCTGGAGAGTTTGAGTTTCCTGGGTGGAAACTCGCTAAAAGTCCAACTTCTGCTTGACCTCCTAAGGTTGCGACTGGGTACAGAAAGCAAAGAAGAGCCGTGAGCTGCCGGCAGAGACAGTATTGAGGGGTTCCTGGTGCCGGTAGCAAGGTGCCAGGGAGGGACACCACGCTGCTTTGGTCTGCAAGTGCTCTTCCAACCTTCAGTGCCTCAAGCGGGTCCGAAAGCAGAAAGGCAACTCTTTTTGCAAAACAAGGATGTACTTTTCTAGCTTCAAACGCCTGCTGCATCCTGACCTGGAGATGGCTGCATTTCATCAGCAAAACCATGATCTCTTTGTTTTCCCCAGCCTGCAAAGCACGCCGAAATCCTTCAAGATGAAAGATGCTACAAAAATACCAAGCTGTCATATATTTATTATTTTGGCAATAAGCATTTCTAGACTGAAGTCAGGAAACCTCGCTTCTTTGTTGCTTTTGTAACTGTCCCTTTCTTGGGTTATTTTAGGAAAGCACTCGCATGCACGTACTGTGTATATGAAGCTGGGTGTGTGCGAACGGTCAATTTAGTTCTTTAGAAGAATAACACAGATCTTCTGTGATCTGTTACAGTTGAACGTCTCTAAACTTCTTAAGATTTTATATTCCTGGATTTTTATAGGGGATTTTTTTCCCCCCAGAGTCCACCTGCCTTATGTGAAATGGATTATTAGCCCTTAAAAATAAAAATACTGCTGTTTTGGAGATGAAATAGATTTTTAAATTATAATAAGGGGGGATTACTTGGATGTTTCCTGACTTAACAGAGGCAGATCCTTTACTATTAATGAGACTACTGGAGACTGTAAGCCTCTAAATACTCAAACCTTTTGTCCAGAAAACCAATACTATAAATAGCATTTCCTACACCAAAAAACCTGGGGATCCGATTTACTCCGAGTGTTTGCTAAGGGCACGTGTGTAACCTGCAATTCAGCGTACAGCAGCTAAGCCGAGGCCACGGGGAGCCCGCAGGACGACAGCGAGAGGAGGACGAGAAGATGTGAGGATCCTGCTGGGTCCTGCCCTGCCCACGCGAAGGGGACAGCACGCAGCTCCGTGCGCTTTGGTGACAGGGGAGCTGGCTTGTGCTTCAGCTATAATGAGACTTTTAAGAGAAAAAACATCTACTTTCCTCCTTATTTGTCCCTATGCGAGCTTCTTCCCCATCCATAGGCGATGCTCAGTTGCATCCGGTCAGTCTGTTCCTCCTTGCAGTCACTTCTGAGGCGGAGGGGGAAGCTCTCAAGCAATGAGAGCGCAAAATTATTTTAAAGGATGAGAAAACGTAATTGAAAAACCACATCAGTTGGCTGGGGTCTTAGAAGCATGTGTGTATATAGCTGTAACGGCTACCAGGAGGAAGCAGACTGCATTTCAGGTGGACGCTGATCCTTTAATGTAAGGCTGAGAATAATATTTATATGCTGACTCACTAAGATTTATGCTTCTGTATAAATCACACATGCACTTAAAAAAAAAAAAAAGAAAGTAGAAAGCAACTGCAGGATATTCATGGTTTCCAGAACTCTACATAAATCAATTGTACCACGATCCCACAAGCTTTTAGACAAACACACGCACGCTCATTCATTATTGGGGATGTTCTTCCATCCAGGGCCCTCGACAGAAGAAAAATGACAGTAGCAGCGACGCGATGACCCTCGCCAAAGCCCTTCACTCTTAACGCCCCCACAGCTCCAGCAAAGCTTGGACCCAAAATCAGTATTCCCAGTGGTGCAGTTTGAGTAACTGGCTGAACCAGAGCCCTGGATCGGCACACTTGTCACTTCAGGGAGCCTGGGACCCGAAAGCAAAGCCAGACTTGGCACTACCCCTCTAGGACAGAGCTGAGCACCATCCTTTCGTTACCCTGCGGGCCCACGCCTCTCCTCGGCACGCTCTTTCTGCCTTGTTTATTCAGCCTATCTTGGACGACGGTCCTTCCCCGTCCCTTTGCCAGCACGACCCTCTCGGAGAGCAGCGCCTGTTCTGCAAACGCCGCCTCTTGCTCGCTGCGTTACAAAGACAGGCAGACGCCTGCAAGCGCCAGACGTCAATAAATTAAAGTGCTGTTGCTACTATTATTGTTATCGCTTCGTTACGACAGGGACGGCGTGAGACTTGGTGAGGAGCCTGGGACGGACAGGGAGCCAGCACGGGGAGGAGGAGATGGAGAGCTGCAGCCGGGGAAGATTCATCCCCACCTCCTGCAGTCTGGGGAAGACTGGGATGGATGGAGACCGAGATTATAAAGCACATGTGGAAAAAGCCTACATTTCAGCTTCAGCAGCAACCCTCAGCAACAACTCCTTAGCAGAGGGAGCTTGGTTTTCCCACCAGGGAGCGGTCCCTTAATGCAGTTTTGCGCAGATGCACAGGCCACGCACAAAATCTGTTTTCCTGCTTTCCCTCCCATAGAGAGATAAGCAAATCGAGTCTCATTACGCTGGATTTTCCAGCAGCACCTCAAAAGCCACCTGAGAACAGTCACGAAACGCTCAGTAGGCAAAAACTCCAGGACTGAAGCGCAAAGCCCCAGAGGAGAGAGGTACTCTGGGTGCCCGTTGGGAAGTGCCCCGAGGAGACCTTACCTGTAGCGCTGGTGGCCATGTCCCTCCTCATGTTGTAGAAGGCAGGTGGTGGGGTCAGAGCCAGGCTGAGCTGATGTCCGCAAGGCCACGGCTGCGATGCCCACGAATGGGGAGGAGAAGTTGAGCAGCACCGAAGCAGCCCGGTGGGATGGGTTCTCCTGGCCATGGGTCACGTTGATGACAAGCGGGTTGTGCTGGCATGACAGCTCGTACATCCCTGCAAGATGGGGCACAGAAAGAAGCCGCTAGCTCAGCTCCAAGGATATTTTCTCTGCTTTTGATTTACTACTTCTGCTCCCCCACACATCCCAACAGACCGGCTTAGGAAGCAGAAGATGCTGCAAGGGGGGACAGGGGACACCAGCACCCAACTCAGTGAGAGATCGCAGCAATGGTAGGGACTCCTGGTGTCCCTGCCGGGACAGCATGGACCGGTGCCACAGCCCATAGGATGCTCACCCAAAGAGTGGTTCAGCCCATCTACATCGCTCAGCTGGACGGTCACCCTCGGCTTGCGCTGCTTGCTTGGAACGGTGCCGTCAGAGGCCAGGAAGACCAGGAGGGAAGTGGGCACCGCGGGTCTCTCAAAGCACACCTGGGCAGGAGGGCAAGAGAGACCCTGAGAGCCCGCATCCCAAATATAGTCTTTCTGATCCCATATATGCAAGAGGGAGAGAAAGAGGGAGCGCGGGGAGAGAGCGGGAGCAGGGTTAGGGGGTCAGAGGCTGCAGATACGCACGGCAGCAAATGGGTGGGAAGAGAGAGAGGAGGGAAGGAAGGGTGCAGGAACACAGTCCTTTCCCTCCTAATTCCCCTTCTGCATTTTACTGGTCTTCCCCACGTGTATCAGTCCTGCCTTGCCATAAATTTATGGCATCTTCCCAGCTTCCACATTTGCTGCTCTTAAAATTGAGCAACGCTTAACCAAGACCTGGATAACCCCTTTTCTGCCCTCCCTTCCCCAGGCTCTGACTCCCACCCAGCACGGTGCCGGTCAGGCACCCAGAGAGCACAGCTACCAGCCCTGCCACCGAAATATTTCCATTAAAAAGAAAAAAAAGCCAAAGAACAGCCCCAGTACCCGGAGTGACTGCAAACTGTCCATCAGCCAACATGCGGAAAGATTTGTGGGAAGAAGTCCTGCCTGCTAGGAGAGCCGACAGCTCCCCACTTGTCTACAGCCCCAAAGGCTACAGGAGGCAGCCGGGAAACTCACGGCATCAATCATGGCAGGGCAGATGTTCTTTGGAAGTAAGAGGATAGAAATGTTTTTCTCCCCCACCCTGGTGCCCCCCACCCAGTGCCGAGATGTGTTTTGATCAAGACCCACCCTATGGAGTGTTTTTATTGAATGCCAGTGTGGAGGGAGCCCAGAAACTGAAGGCGAAGGTGTATTTCGGAGGAGGACAAGTCCTGGCTGGCCAGGCACAGCCTAAGGAGCAGACTGCGGGAGCGGAAGGGGACAACCACCCGATGCATGACGGCAGCCCAGCCTCGGGGTGGTTTGTGCCACGCCAGGCATTGCTCACGCACAGGAGCGGGAAGAAACCTTGGGCTTCATCCCAGGGCTCCCACCCTGCGGGGAGGTGCTCGGCAGCAAACATCCCGTGAGCAAGTCCCCAAGGCTGTCTACACGCTCCCTTGGCCAGGGCTTGCTCTCACGCGGGGCTGGCCCTGCTGCAAGGAGTGGACCAGGAGGCTGAAGCTGCCCTCTTTTTTTGTTTGGTATATCCTCACTGCCTCCCCACCTGAGCTCAGAAGCTGATGAGAAGAGAAAGCAAGAAGGGAGGAAAGATGAAGAAGAGCCAGCAGTGCTCAGAGCTTGCTCCAAGGAGCCCCCCAGGACAGAGCTGCAGCCGGGAACCCCAAGGAGCCAGCCGATTTTAACCCAGCCACCTGCTGCTCACTCCTCCAGGCGCGGTTCCTCAGAGGAGGAGAGATGGTTGGAGAAGTCAGGTGAGGCTTTCCCTGGACTACACAACTTAAGGGAGAGGGTTTAGTCCTTCCCTTCCTACAGCGCATCGACTTGGAGGTGAAGCGATCACTTGGAGGTGAAGGACACTGGCCCCAAGTAAGACCAACGGCAGCTGACTTGACTAACGTCCCAATTCTTTTTTTTTTTTTTAAATATGTATTATGTGCCTGGCCACAGCAGGTTATCTTCTTCATTTTTGTCCCTCCCTCTCCCCCTTTCTGTTTAATTTCCTGCATATCCTGCGTCCTGACTTGCTTACAAGTGATTTTGATTTCTCTCCTCTTCGGATGTGTTAGAAACTAAGAACAAAGCATGGCCTGAGATCTGCAAATCATAACTATTCCCATCTGCAGACAGACCCAAGGTGCATGGTAGATGCTTTGTTAGGTGGCCCACTCTTGCCTCCAGCCCCAGCCCCCTTTACAGCACGACCCAACCTTTCCCTTGCTCATTGGTGCCACCTCTTGAGAAACACCGTAGGAAGCAATTCCTACCACCCGATGAGTTTTGCGGTGTGGCTTTAACCCGGGTGACACAGGTGCAACAGCTTTAAAATGGCCATGGGAGTTGGTGGCCACAAAACACCATGCACACGTGGATATGCATGTGCACGAACAGCACCGTTCCTGTCCGGGCAGGCGGGTGTGCTAGGCAAATTGTCAACAAGAAGCTGTCTTTCCTAACCCAATATGTTACCAATCAGGCAAACTCTATTAAAAAAAGGGAAAAAAAAAAAAGAAAAAAAAAGAAAAAGGGCATATTTATTACTAGTCCATAAATAATTTTATGGGCGGAAAATAATAGCACTCCTAGAGAGAGCATGGAGAACCAGTAATGAAAGTCTTTAATATAAACATCCATAGAGGAAGAGAACTGACCACAAGCTCCAATAAAACTGGAACATGCTTTAACCCCTGGTGAGAAGTGGAAAGCAAGCTTTCATCTAGGTAGGGCAGAGGAGGAGATTGCTGCTTTCTCGCTAGCAAAGGAAGAAAGGAGGCACATTTGTCATGGCCAGAGACTGAAGCTGGAAAGTAGGTCGTGAGCACAGAGACAAGGAAGAAAGAAAAAAACCACCCAGTTAAAGGAAGATCTTTGGAGAGACAGAGGACCCCAGAGGCAATCGCCACGTTTATTGACTCAGGTTGGACGATTCACCAAGTCGCCCGAGCGTCTCGGGAAGAGGTCCTCTCTAGACAACCTCCAGCAAAGCAGGGCAAGGTGCCCCTCAAACTGCAGAGGAAGCAGCACGCCAGAACCCAGCTTTCCAGTAACATCAGGCAACAGCCATGAAACCTCCAAACTGCCTCTGTGGTCAGAAAATCAACGCTGTAAAAAAATCACGTTGGCCTAACCCTCAGCTCTCCTCTGTCCTGCTCCTGGGACAGAGAGGTTTGACCCTCCAGGTGCCCTCCCAAAGGTCGCCCCCAGCCCCATTGGGCTGCAGGACCAGCATCTTGGGCACAGAAGTGCCTCCTTTGGTCTGGAGTCACCGGGGGGGCAGGAGGACCTGCATGCCACAGTTGATTGCTGTGGGCTCAGGGTGCTCAGCAGCAACCTGGAGTGCTCAGGACCCCGCAGGATGGCAGAGTATATCCAGCAGCTACCCTCTGTTGCTCTTCATAGCCGTGGGGAACAAAGGCAAGCAGGACTTTAAAGACAGCCTGTGCCCACCCTTTGCGGGTGTAACGGCACAGCTTGACTGCAGGGAATAGTCAGAAGCAAGTTGTTTCTCAGCCTCAACACATTTCTGTGGGCTTCTGGTTTCGGGCACAGCCCTTCTCCTGGCAATCTGCCCCAGGATAGGTTTGCTGTTCACAGTGGGGACGGGGCAACCACATAAGACCCAGCCACAGGCATTTGGGGTTTGCGAAGAGTTCAGTAGGATATGAAGTCCTATCTGAGAAGTTTTTAAGACTGCTTTAGCTCCTACAGGACAGAAAAGGATGGGTCTTTGGTGACAAAGTGCTGGGGCAAAGACAAGCAAATCCTTCTGTGCCTGACCACGCATCCTCACTTACCTTGAGCCAAACTCCCTCATCGCCCGAGGGCATCCTCTCCTCTTCTGGATGCTGAGCATTGTCTTGGCTGGGAGCGCAGGGGAACCAAGCAGCCAGGGAAAGGTCTTTTGGCACATCATGAAGGTGAGATTTACATACCTGAAAGGAGAGATTTATTTCAATTCAGAAAGAAGCAAGGAAAGTGAGAGAAAGAAATGGCACCTACAAAACCTTAAGGAAGACTCAGCAAACATTGAGAAGGATCCCAAGTTGGTTCCTAGCATGAAGACAATTAGGATGCAGGTTCCTAAGCAGGAGTCACATCTCACCACCCACACACGTGCACAGGAGGCCTTTGCCATTTTGAGGTGCCGTAAATATGCTGTTTAAGGACCCCATGGTGTCTGTGGGGCTGAGTAAGAAATAACGAGCCAAGCTTTGAGATGGTAGGTAAGACCGCAGCCTCCTGATTTTGGCTGGGTTGATGAGATCCGAAGGTGTGATTCATTTGCCCAAATACCAGCCTTCTGTGCCATTCCACGCTCTGTGGTCTCCCAGACATCCCCATAGGCCTGGCAGACAAAACCTGGGACATACGTGCGTCGTTCTAGAGAAACAGACACCTGAGCCCAAGGCATCTCATCAGACATGCACATCTGGGCAGTTTAATCACGCTGTAGGTCTCAAGATTGTTCCTTACATCAGGTCAATAGAAACACATCTATAAAGGGCTAAATATGACCCCTCTACATATTCCTTGCCCTTCTTCAGCTTGCTAGGAAAGAACATACACACACCATGTTAACACCGATCAGGCAAAATCCTGCCCTAGACCTCCAGGCCCTGCTCCGAAGCCTATATGAAAGATGGGAATTCTCCCATCGATTTTTTCCTTGGCTTCAGATCAGAGAGTTTGAGAGCAGCACAGATGCCGGTGTATGGGTGATTTTATCCTTTCAGGCCCTGACCTCATAAGGTATCAGACTTACGGGATTTTTTTTTTTTTTCAAACTGACAGTGGGACTACTCATACGCTCAAAGTTGTGCGTTTAACTGGTGGGATGGGGGTAGTCACTGTTTAGCAAACTGCGTGGTCAGGGGAGGGGTTCCCTGCCTTGGCGAAACACCCCTCCATGGACTGCAGTTCCTGGGCTTAGGGACCACTACTGAAAGAGGGGTGTGAGAAATGCCCAGGGCCTTCTACTGGCTCCCTGCATAGGAATATAGTAATCAATAAACACTTCCAGAGCTGCTCTGAAGATTTTGGTTTTGCCTCAGGACACTCTTGCCGCAGTGACTTCCCCAGCTTTACTGCGCGGGCTTTGCTAGAAAAGTCTTTTTTTTTTTTTTTTGGCCATGCCTTCGCTCACCTTCACAACAGGCTCTCCAGTGACCAAGGAAGCAGGGCAGGACTTTGCGTCCTGATGGGAGGCGTAGGCTTTCGCTGCCCACAGATCCACGTATCCGTCGGGCGTGTAACAGTCCAGGACACTGCTTGTCTTCTCGAACGGCTCACACACACCGTCCCCATCGTGCACATAGCACAGGCTTGGTTCCCCTGCAAGGAGACCAGGGATGACCTGTTTACAAACCAGGCTCCAGGCACATACATCTCCTCCTGTCCCAGGAGGCATGCTGGCCATTTAGCCCTGGGATTTCCCACCACAAGGGCCTGACGAGCTCCATGGATCGCTCCAACTGCAGATCCATGTTTTGTTGCTATGAGGTTCATCACCCTCGCTCTGAGGAGCGGTGTGAATAACGTACAGTTTTGACTCCTGCCTCAAAAGGATGTCCCAATCCATTTGGACTCACCGACACAGTTGAAGCCTTTTTCCTTTTTACACTTCCTGGAACAGCCATCTCCATCCAGCAAGTCCCCATCATCACATTCCTCCTCCAGGCTCCTAAGAGGACAACAGCCAGACGTGTTAACACCGCTCGTGACCCAACACTCCTGTGGTTCTGCCCAATCATGAGTGAGGACCCCATATCTTGGTTCCATTTCCACAGAAGCAGGAAGAAGAGGAAGAACCACATGTGGAATAAGGTAGAGGAGAGAAAACACCATATCTTGCCAGGGGATAAAAAGAGGTTGAAAACACAGCATATGGGAGAAGGCACGACTGTACTGTGACTTTCTTACATGACCTGAGGCAAGAACTATGAGAGAAAATGAAGCTATATATGACGGAGGAAGCAGGGAACCAAGCATCAGAAAGACTTGCTGCTGGAGAAAGCAAGCGTTGGAGAGGGCAGGAGGTTCTGAGATGGGGCTGATGTTTCAGTGGGAGCTGGAGAAGAGGAGGGAGGAGAAGGGAGAGAGAGAAGGTTAGCCCAAGAGGAGACAAGAATCAGCCCCCAGCTGACTTAGCCCAAGAGGAGACAAGAATCAGCCCCCAGCTGACGTGCATGGCATCTCACAAGGAAGAAGCCCATGCAGTTTCCTTGAAAAGGTTCTGTCCCCATACTGCAGAAAATAGAGCTGATGTGAAAAGCTGGCAGAAATGCCTTGATTTGTACCTATTCCTTTGTGCACAGTTACGTATCCCAAAACACAAGGAGCAAAAAAACCTCAGACATACGTCTTGTGATGCTCACCCAGCTCCACCCTCATCTGACAGGAAAGATCCGCCGTGCCCCATCTTCCCACCTTTGGCTCACTGTTCCACATATGGTACAAAGGAAAAAACTTTCACAGACAAAGCTTCCTGCCTGGCCTTCCCCACAACAGCTCAGGAACAGGAAAGCCTGCCAAAAATCTCAGCAGCTATCTACCCATTTCTGCTCTTCTTACTTTTCTATCAAGTTTGACAACAGAGCTAATGTGGTAATTTGCTCTTTCCGGACTAAGTCTTGAGCTAGTATGAATTCATGCTAAGGTTTGACAACAGAGCTAATGTGGTCATTTGCTCTTTCCGGACCAAGTCTTGAGCTAGTATGAATTCATGCTAAAACCATACCAGATTACACCACTTTAGCAGCTAGCCCTGCTTTAAGCCTCTTCGCCTTGCTGGGTCTTGAATGATACCACAATCCCTCCTGCACTTGCTTCAATTGTCCACTTTCCTCACGCTGTTGAGAGCGCTGTTTCCAAAGGAAAGTGATTCTGAGTAACCTGGAAGTTGAAGTCTGAAAAAGCTGAAATGTGGAAATTTGGCATAATTATCCCCAGACAGAGCAGGTGAACCACTAGAGCCTCCCAATGTAGAGGTGGTGCATCCCTCATCATTTGGGGTCTCTAAGCAGAGACCAGACAGCTCTCTAAAGACACCACACCATGTGGGACTGTGCTTGCTGCGGAACCTACTCCTGCAGGGCCACCACCATGCGCCCTGTGCAGAAGGTTATATTGGCCAGTCCCAGAAGGTGGATCCCTTTGGGAGTCAGACTGCATGACAGTTCTCTGAGATGGGCCAGAACCCAACCACTGCAGTCAAACACGGAGGATGTTCAGGTTGGACACCTCATCCAGATCCTGCTTCTCAAAAAGACCCTGTCCATCTCCTACGCACATGGCATTTTACAAAACACAAGCTCTATAGTCAAGTCTGCTGGAGGGATTCAGTGCAGCATCTTCAGGCAAGTACCCACGGGTGGAGGATCAACCTGGTGCTTCTCTTTGGGGCAGGATGACCCGACAGCTTAAAGAACCTCAGCTGAGAGCTTGAGTTTCTTGACTTACATGGTCACCTTCCCATCCCCACAGTAGGGTGCTCCGTGGATATGGACCAGCGGTGGGGAGGCTTCTCCTGAGGTTGTCCCAGAGACTGCCTGCACCTGGTAGCGGTACACCTGCCCAGGCGTGACTTCCCTGCAGGAACAGAGAGGACTTGAAGAGCAGGAGGGAACAGCCCATACATCTGCAACAGATTTGCTCACCACAGCTATAGAAATCATGCATGTGTGCGCCCATGGAGTATCACAGTTTGACATACGTCTTCGTACTCTAAACTGCCAGAGGCAGAGACTGTGGGAAGAGGGTCTCTGCCAGGTCATGCAGGTGGGCCTCCTGCTTATTTCCCTTATTTCCCTAGGGTCTGAGCTGGGGAGAAGTGGCATTAACTTGAACAATCATTTCACTGATTGTGTTGATGAGGAAAGTGTTTCCAGGTTTATTAAGCTCCTTCTAGTTAGCCTGGGCTCATGAGGAAGGGTCATGCTAGCATGGTGGGTCTGCAACAAGCTTCCTCAATGCCGAACAGGGAACCCGCTCATGGCATCGAACGTGATAATTCCCGGCGTGGGGGGAAAAACAAAACACAAGCAAAACCATCCAGGGATTCAAAAGGCAGGACCCGAGGAGGTCATCAAAACCGTCCCAGCCGCCCACTCAGCCTGCGACAGCGCAGCCGCGTCACTCACGTGTCAATGAACTGGCGGTGCGCCTGTGCCGGGGCGGCGGGGGACCCGTTTGCAAACGGGGGGTCGCGGAGGACTCGGTACTGGATCAGCTTGCAGGCAGAGCAGAGAGAGCTGTGGGGCATGGAGGTCAGCAGGGCTGTGTCTATCTCCATCCTCTCATCAAAGGTGTAGATTTTGACTCCGAACACCTTTTTGGGGATGTTGAGCTTCACAGTAAAGGGGACATCACAGAAGGTGTCCAGGGGGCCCAGATGGATGGACTCCCCCTGCTCTGTCAGGACTTCGATGTCAGACAGGGCCTTGGGAGAGCCCGTGGAGAGATAGGTGGTCCAGAGGGTGAGGGAATCAGGGTAGACGGGGTGCAGGAAGCGCAGCTCCAGGATGCAGCCGTCCGGCTGGGGGCACGGCACCGTCATGTTCATGTGGTACAGGTGGAGCTCCGGACTCCAGGCTTGCAGGCTGGGCTCACAGGGCTGATCCACGTCTGGGGGCCCTGGGCAGGAGGGACGAGGGGGTGGGTGATGAGAACCAGGGGACAGCTGACCTTATAGGGGACCCAGAGGGGTGATCCTCCCTGCAGTACCCCATAGGTGCTTATGCGTCTCCATGCTATAGCTGCACACCCATGCGGGTAGTGGTTTTGCACCCACTACAGGCATGTACCAGAGCTGGTGGCATCTGCCCTAACATCCTAGAAAGCAATAAGCACCACTAGTGTCCCAGCTCCTGGGTATGCATATAAGCACAAGGCTTGGCAGATCTGGTGTCTCACAGCCCTCTACAACAGGGACAATGGTATCCACACGGCAGCTGGTCAACAGTGCCAAGCTCTAGAGACAGCCTGGACACAGCTGGGGGACATGAAGCTTGCTCTGTAGTCTCATGGGCACAGAAGGCTTGCCAAGGGCACCCAAATGCCGAGTCCTTGTGGCTCCATGGGTTTGGACACAGGCTAAGTAGAGCAGAGACCAAAGCTTTCCACAGGCACGTGCTGGAACAGGTCACAGGTAGAAAGGGACCAGGTCCAAAGCAAGCCAGGGAAGCAGCTCTGGAAGGCTGTTCTTCTACCAGGACCTCCAGGACGGTGACCCAGGCTGACCTCCCCAGCCTGGTGGTGGATTAGCGCTCAGCAAGAGAGTGGGCTTTCAGTCTCAGAAAGCATCACTGGAATTCATCATCTTGTAGTAGAAACACCTTTGTCTTCATCAACATTTCTTAGGGCCCAATACCAATTCAAAGCCTGCATCCACTTAATATTGGTCTTCTAAACACCATAAAACCTGTCTCTCTTTCACCAGAGCAAACATGCACTTGTGATAACTGCAGGTCATGCACAGGAGAAAACAACATCCAATAATTCTAGAAGCAGTTTTCATTTGCCAATGAATCAGCCAGGCAGGGGAAACAGGAACCACTGACAATATATGAGCTAAGCTTTGATTTGTTTGGTATCACTGAATAAGCACAAACCTGATTATTTCTTTAAGTTGATTTTCCCCCCCTCCCTCAACTTGCAATGCTAGCAAGAGGTACTTAAAGAGTTTTCAGACACAGAATCTCAGCTACATCCTGACACTCCTGTTCTCAAAGCATGGGCTACATCCCAAAGGTGTAATCCTGTCCCAACTGCAACCACCCTGGCACATTTTCAGTTGACCTCAGTGGCTCAAACGTGCAGATGCACAGGACTAACAGATCCTCTGGCTCCACGTGGTTCAACAGCAGCGTGTGCACTACATACAGCTCACAGGATCATTTCACCCGGTCTCCTGCCTCCTCTGCTTTGCCTTTGGAGAAGTCGAGGCAGTATGAGAAGTCCTATGGCAGCTGCATGACCCCCAAAGCCATCACCATGCCCACAAGCTGGGTCTCTAAACCAAGAGAAGTCCCAGCACAAGAGAAGTTGCGACACCCTTTTGTTCACCTTGCCAGAGAGAAATTACATCCAACCCAGATTGCCCAGGATTTGGTACAAGACTCAGTGGGACTGAGCAAGGAGCTCCTCTTGCTCCCTTTGGACAAGGCTGCATCAAAGCCTATCAATGCCTCTGACATTGGATGAGGTCCCAAGATCTATGTTTAAGACTTATTTCAGTGAACTGCCCCTCCCTTTTGACCAGTATCTCTCATTAACACCTTCCTGGGCAATGATTGGGGTTAATCATTATCGGGCTGTCAATTTGTTTGTCCAAAGCCAGCTGGAAGTTACCAGGTATCTCCTGGGCACCTAGAATTCCATCCTGCAATAAAGAGCCTCCCCCAAAGAGGAGATAACTCACTCTCTAAAAGAAAAAAAACCTTCTTTTTCTGTCCCAACAAGATCTCATCTCTGTCTGGGAGATTCACAGCCAGGGGAAGAGAGGAGGTGTTTACCTTCTGCTTCTTCTGGGGTCCAGTAACCAGAGGAATCGCAGACCCGAGGGGAAGAGGCCTCGTGCACATACTGACGGAAGGTGCCGTCCTCTGCACAGTCATCGCAGAGCGTATCCTCCTCCCTGCAGACAGAAGACAAAGGCATTGGCACGTCTAATCATGACCGGTTAAATGCACATACTGACGGAAGGTGCCATCCTCTGCACAGTCATCGCAGAGCGTGTCCTCCTCCCTGCAGACAGAAGACAAAAGCATTGGCACGTCTAATCATGACCGGTTAATTTTCCATCCATGTTTGTCCAGGCAGGATCAGATGGGAAGCTCTCGGGAAGCCCCTGGGCATATCATCCTGCTTGGAATAAGCTTTGTCAAAGACAGGAGAATAAGAGTGATCGTGGGACAAACCGGGTTTAATCCCTCCTCTTCTGCAGGTTCTCTGGGTAGTCTTGGATGAGCCCTTGAATCGCCTGTTCCCCGCCAACAAAGCAGAGCTAACAGACTTCATGCTTCCCGGGGCAATGCCTCTGCAGTTGGGTGGGTGCCCTTGGGTCTATCTCCGCTAAGCCCCAGAGTCAGGTTTTTGGCTTTTGTCAATACAAGACTGCAATACAAGACAGTCACAATAATGTCAATTAAAGAGGGTACCGCTGTGCTCTCCAGGAAAAAAAAGACTATTCTGTGATAAAGACCAGCCTCAGGCCCTTTCCTTGGCAAGTTTGTCACAGGGGATGCAGAACCCCCACCATGAACCAGCTCCTGATCCAGTTATGAGCGAGAGCTGGGGATGGATCTGAAGACCCAGCACCTACCTCCTAGACCTGTGTTTAACATGTGCTTATGGTCCCATAATAAAAGCATAGACCTAAAACCTGGTGGAAACCGAAATGTTTTAGTAATAGGGGCTGCTGAATAGAGGCACTGGTGGCATATCCAGGTCCTGGTGACTCCCCAGCATTGGGGAGAAGGAAGACAGCCACCCGGCGCTCAGGGCCATGCACTGCTTGCCAGCCAAACAACTCTGGTTTCTCAGTACCGTTTCTCTGGCTCGAAAAGTTTCCTGACTTACCCCCAGTTAGTTACACCACGAGTCCGTGACAGTGCTGGGAACGAAACCCAGCTCTTGCGGTTCGAGCTCCCTGCCTTAACCACAAGGCTGCATTTCCTCCTGGTAAATGGCAATTTTATACAATAAGTGCTAAATGAAGCTCATTTTTCATTCCGTGATTGCACTCTGGGGTTTAAGAATTGGCATTGCTCTTTGGCTTCCCCTCCCGGCACCCCGACAGCAGAAGGCTTGCAGGAGAGCCCACGCGCCAGCGGGGCCATCGCAGCGGTCCTCCTCTTGTGTCTGAGGGCTCTGCTGGAGACGACCAAGGGGGAAAGGGGATGGGGGGGGGTCTGCACCACAGAGGGTCTCTTGTCCCTTCTAGCAGGCTCCTGTGCAAGCCCAAGACCATTGCAACAGCACATCTCTTACCTCTCGTGGATGACACCGCTGATGGGAGGCAACCAGTAGATGCTGAGGGAGTCCTGTGTCTGCCCCGTGACCATGGGAGGAATCGGGATGGGTGCGGGCTTCTTGCTCTGGCCCCAGCGCTGGTACACCAGGTCCAGGTAGCAGTGCATCCGGGCCACTTGGTTGGGGGTGAAGGTGTTGGTGCAGTCATCATCTGGGCAAAGAGAGGCCAGGCTGAGGGTGGCAGGGATCAGCCAGTGGGGCATGGTAATCCTGATCTCCAAACTCTGTTTTGGGGACCTCTAGGGAGACCTGGGAGACACTAGTGTGTGGTGGCTCTCCTGCCAGGACTCTCTGGTGTCGTGTGTCCCCAAAGCCACAAGATGGCACTGCCTCAGCAGCTCCACATCCCCGCACTTGCTCAACACCAGCTCACACCAGGTCTAACGCCTGGGACTCGCGGTGGGTCAGCAAGGGGTGACAGGATTGCTCTTCAGGCTTTGGTCCTCCTGGGCTGACAGGAGGAACACCAGCCCTCCGTGGCATGCCTTTGGAAACCAAGCCAGAAGGGCTCAACTCAAAGGTCCAAAATTGTAATAGTAGTAGTAGTAATAATAATAAGTAGTAATAGTAAAGTTGCTTCAGGACTGGAGAACAAAGGCAGACCACCATACAGACAAGAACGGCCTTGATGCATGTCCAACGACAGACTGGCAGGGAGGGAGGGGATGGAAACAGCCTGCAGCAAGAAAGGGGCTAAGAAGCTACTGCAAGCACAGGCTGCAGCCTGCCACGTCCCAACGCACCAGGAGGGACCACATCAGTCGGGGAACGAGGGAAGGGACTATCGATGGAGGCGGAAGGGAGAGAACCCCAAGTTTCTAGGGAAGGTGCCCCCTTGCAATTTCTAATGACGAGTACTCGTTACCTGTGTAACTCATGTAGTTGTTGAAGGGCGTCCCTGTGAAATGTGTCTGGCCGCAGGTGTCATTGGTAGGGTCTGGATCCCGACAGAGTTTACTCTTTGGGGTGGGGGCAGTGTCGGCACAGAGGTCTCCCGTCTCCATAGACGGAGTTGTCTCCCTGCAGGGATCGTCACAAGATTCCCGCTCGCTCACTCCCTTAAAGACATGGTACAGCCCCAGGACATGTCCCACTTCATGGATCATGGTGTTCGTGTGGCCGTGCATACCGTAATAAGCAGGGTTGAGGACAACTCCACCTAGAATTGCAAGTACAGAGAACATCATCCAGAGAAAGAGAGAGCGGGCAGCTGCCGTTACTCACCTGTGCTAGGTAAAGTCCCTCTCATTGTGCTTCCAGGTCACAAACGAGGTGCCAGATGGAGACCTGAAGATGGATATATTCACCCTCTTGTAGGATGGGAAGAGGGCTCCTTTGCCTTCTTGGAGTGGAATGGGGTGGGTGGTTTTTCTTCCCCTTCTGATCACACCACTGCCCCCAACATCTTCAATCATTTCAGCTACCATTTCCCTCTGTGTCTTTTTGCATGTTTACAACTCAGTGTCCGCTTTGGTTCACACTTACAACTCCAAATGCGGTTTGGAGCCAGGGCACCAAACCAAGACATGCTGTGAGTTTACAGGGATAATCTTTTGAACCAGAGGACAGAAGACCTTCCCTAGCCTAGACAGGTGGCTAAAGCATGACAGTTCCCATGGCAGGGGAGAACAACAAGGTGCCTAGCAAAGTCCTGATGCACTTGGCTGTGCCAACTAGAAGCCACCTTCAGCACAAGTCCATATGAAGAGTCAAATACGCTGCCTCTGGCCCCTACTGAGAAAACATCAATGATCTATTGCTTCAACCTCCAAACCAGACCCTAAGGAGTAAACTGAAACTCTCATGAGGTGCTGTTGCAATCCGCTAAGCTTCTACTACAAACCCCACCTGAATTCACTGTGTATTTTAGGGCGGGATTTTCCAAAATGCAGCTTCTGAAGATCCCTTCCTCCCCTTCAGAGGGATTTGCATGTGAGCAAGGTGCACCAAGTGAACCAGGCGAGAACCCCCCACCCATCACAGTCCTACTCCTCTTCACTGGGGCACCTCAGCCCCTTGACTCAAAGGGGCAGTTCATCTCCGATCCGGTTTGGTGCAGGTTCAACTCTCAAAGATGCTGGAGCATGGGTACAGACTAAGTCCCTCAGAAGCTGCCCAGAGCTGCCACCTCATACTGACAGCAACAGCATGGAGCTGGAGAGGGACCCGTGCTGATCCTGTCCTGAGCTGCCCCTTGGCTGCAGGACGAGGTGCTTTTCCTCTCCTGCCCACCCACCTGCGATGGGAAGAGCAAGGATCAATGATGCTGAGGCAAGCCAGGTGGAGCAGTGCCTTCCCTTTGCTCGCTGCCAGCATCTCCGACTCCTGACCTGGGATGCACACCCTGTACTGACAACTCTGTACCACATCTGTTGGGAAACTGTCCACGGAGGATGCTCAAGAACAAAACATCTCTCTCCTCTCCGGCCTCCTTTTATTTCTTTATTTTGCCCAAATGAAAATCTCTTTGGAAACTCTGCTTTTTTCTCCCTGCTTTGAGGCTTTTCATTGGCCGTTTCCTCCCCTTTCCTCTTCTCGTTTCCTTGCTCCATCCACTATCCCATGCTGCCTTACAACGGAGGAACAAGGGCTGGGGAATATCAGCAAGACGAGGGGGCAAAAAGCAGACCCCAGCAGTGCCCAGGCTGACTCCAAGCAACGGGAGGCTGTTTTTACCCAACTACTTTTAACCCAGACAGCTTGGATGGCAGTGCAGTGAATAGTTGGCTCCCTCAGAGCTTGCTCCCTCCTTTGCAGGGCCCTGGAGGATTTACTGTGCCAGCTACCTCACAGCAGAGCCTCTGCTACTGCATCTCTGCCGATGATTGCTGCACCTGCCAGCAAAGTGAAAATTGGCAGAGGGCCACTGTGTGATCCTGTCTCCAGCCACAGCATAGACCGCTTGAAATCTGCTCCTGGATCAGCTCCATGTGCTACTGGACTACCTCATGTCCTCAAGAACAGGCTATTCCTTCCAAGAGAGGGCTTTCTTCAGATCACAGTGTCCCTGGCAGGACACCAGCAGGTCTGCGACTCCTATGGTGGAGCCATGCTGGATGAACACTGGGTTGGGGCTGGAGAGGGGCCTTCGGAGATGCTTTGAGCAATTCTCTCGAGCCCAACAGGGTTGCAAGAGGGTGAAGAAATAAGGTGGCGTCTTCTATGGAGCATCCTGGGTGTGTGGCTCATGGAATGGCTGAGAGACACCACTACCCTGTCAAGTGGCACTGTTTCTTAGCTAAAAATTCATGTTTGTTGTTCTTCCTCCCCACAGCGTGGATCTTATGCCCAGGGCAGCTTGGCTTTAGGCAAAGGATGGGTCACAAAGTAGCTGCATTCCCTTTCTCCCTAGCTGTAAAACACCAGACCAGAGGACCTTGCATCCCATCAGTCAGCTCTTGACCCTTTAGTTGACTGGAGATGGGCCACAAGAAGGTAGAAAGGTTGAAGAATCCTTTTGGGACCTTCATCTTGTGTCCTGTCAATCATTAGGTTTTTGCAAGCCATCCCCCTCTCAGTTACCAGGCTGGTAAATGCTATAGATAGCAAAGAGCATCCCACTGATAGAGAACCCAGTGGGCACATTAAAAAAAAAAAAAAAGCTGCTTCTCATTTTAATCAAAACAGGACATGAGAGAAGAAAGAACAGAAAGAAAAGGCATCTCTGCAGCCAAACCCAAGCCTGAGCAAGGCAGGGGACTGCCTGCCCAAAGGTCTAAAAGGAGGAATGCACATGCGGGAAGAAAATAGTGTTCATAAACAAATCAATGAGATGTGAAAGCCCTGCATGCATCCTGCAGCACTAACCACAAGGAACGGGTCTGAGCACCAGGGGCACGGGAGGCCCTGTGACCAAGCAGCCTTCCTCCCAGCAGAAACCCAACACTCTTCCCATGCGGGGGAATAAATGGGATTCCAGTACAGGGAGGGAGAAAACTGTCACAGGGGAGGGATGCCAAGGCTGGGATACCCTGTCCCTCCCCCTCCTCTCTGCTGGCTTCCCCTATCCCATTCCTCCCCCACGCTCCACAAGGACGATCATATTTTTAGTACTTTTTTTTTTTTTTTTACAGCTAATTAGATGGCAGGATTAGAAACAGCATGAGAACTCTGCCTTCGTTCCAGAACGTCCCTGTCCCTCCATTCCCTGTCCCCACAGCTCCCTGATGAGCTGGGAGAGCTCCCAGCTTTGGACCAGGAAGTTGTATTTCCCCTCTGCAGGGTCCTGGCTGTGAAGGCAAGATGTGGAAATGTTCGTAACATCCTAACAAGACCAGCCTCTCCTCTCCCTCCTCGGCAGATCGGGCTTTCCTTCTCCCCTCTGCCTCCTCCTGCCCTGGGAGATGGGCTAAATTGGGCTTTAAGTGAACTCTCCCTCTCATGCCTGAGAACCCGCCCAAGGAGGCCCCCAAGGTCAGCATTTACACAACCAAGCTAAAAACTTCAATATCATGTCCCTGTGACATCAAGGGGCTCCAGCACCCCAAGGCAGGTGAACCAGAGTTTTCTTTGGACTTGCTCACCCAACCGAGACCAGGGAGCTGGAAAGCTCCAGGTCTGGCCTCACGACATCCTCTCCCTCCAGACCAGACCTACCAGCTGCAGAGCTGGTAATATCCCCAAGGTCAAGCCTCAACTCTGCTCAAGCAACAAAAGGTGCCCAGTCCATCAGTACGGTGAATGATTAGCACTGGTGTGGACCCTCCACTCCATCTTCACTCACACTTCCCTTGGAAGCTCCCAGTCCCGGGACATTACCCTGCTTCTAGCCACGATCAACGGCAATGCTGAAGGACTCTGATTCAAGCCAGCCCCCAGGAAGCCAACCTGTTCCTGGGCCAGGGCTGTTGTAGAGGACGCGTGCTCGAGCAAGCACGGGATCTTTAAAGAGCAAACCACAAAGTTGAACCTGTATCACAGGGCCAGTCTTCCCCAAACACTGAGTCACGGCAATTAATGGAACAAACGCATGACGGTTAGTCAGACAGGAAGATGGCCATTGCTTAAGGTACCTTTGATGGAACGGCTGGCCCTCCTTCAGGATCCACTGACCTCAGCCAGATATATGAGCTGGCCTCAGCTTATATAACTGCAGAAAGTATTTATAAACATCAAATATTCACAATTCCCTTGCCTTTCGACCATGTTTATGCAAATACAGTTCACATGCAGCTACACATGAAGTTTAAAGCGTCTGCATGATTACATTGCTAGGGTTTTTGAGGCAAGGCTTTCCACTGCGGAAAGCTAAATTTTTTATAGGACAGGCGTTCTTCGACTCCTTGTGTTTTGTAGTTAAAAAGATTTACTTTTAAGTTCTCAGCAAATTCATTCCAGACTCCAAGCAAGAACTCTGAATTTGAGAGGAACTCACTGCGATTAAGGTGGAAAGACCGAGACAGACAGTATGGTTAGAGACAGACAGACCTGAGATTTTCTACCTCTGCTGCTAGCTGGCTGCAAGTTCTCTCTGTCCAGGAGCTCCACAGCAGCTGAAATACTGCCTATAGAAGCGTCATAGACCAGTTCACCCTCTCCAAGTCAGTAAATATCTCTTACGCTTCAGTGAATGTAGTTGCTCTTGGTTGGTATTACTACTGGTCTAAAATGGTAAACCATCCCTAAACCTTCAGAAAGGCTGCTTGAAATTCAAATTTACTCAGGAAAATAATCTGGAGGAAATAAATCATCAGCATAGGAATGGTCACTTAATCTCTAGTAGCCCAAAACACGCATAGGTGAATAGAAGGGGATGAAAAACAAAGCTCACTGACCACCTCCAGAAGGTGAAGATGCCAACAGGAAGGTGAGGAGGACCCTCTTGAAAGACACAGTCAAAGGTCATGAAAGAATGGTTTCTAAGGATTTCAAAGTCCAGATGGCAGATTAAAAAACATCTAGAGAAGAACTGACGGAAAACAGTTTGGAAACAGTATGTTTAGTAAGCTTTAGGATGAGAAGAACTGTTAAAATAGAAGAAGGGAAGGCAGTTGGAGAGAAAAAGTCTCATGGTACTTCTCTTGAAAACATCCAAGAAAGTCCAGTCCAAACAGAGCAAAATCTGACCAAGAGTTTCTGGAGCCAAGAGGCAGGTTAGCTTCTTGGAGAAGTCAAGTCAAACTCTGGGAACCAATTTGATTCAGGAGGAGAACCAAAGCATGAGGGGATCTGTACATGTGCAGGCAAAAAATCAGCGTGGCATTTTTGCTCCATGGGAGCAGACAGTGGCATGGGGGGAACAGAGCCTGTGTGCTGATCTTAATATTTTAAGGTCAAGATAGACAGGAGATTAGCAAGATTCAGTGCAAGGGAAGGAGTCTGTCTTCTTGGAGACAGACCCCTCTCTTGTGTAAAGACCCGTCTCCACCCCTGGTCATTGTTAGGTCCTTGAAGCTCAGGAATTTTTCTCAAACTACTATTCACTCCTCCCAAAGTTGACCTTGCTCTTTCCTCACTGCTTTACCTTCACATCTACTCAGATTCTCAGTAGCCTGTCATGAGAGGTTTTGTCAAAAGCCATGACCTGCTCAGTCCTAAGTTTCTTCTGTGCTGGACAATAATACATATTGCGCGTGGTACAAAACACTTGATGATGTGGGGGAGTCTACTGTTTACAGAGAACAGAGTCTGCCACCCGTCCTCCCGAGCTCATTAAATCTAAAACCAAGGACAGCCTTGAACCAAAGTCTTCAGCCTGTGCCAGAGCCTCAAAGAAGTTCAGATCCAGCTTCATACTTCACAGCTCTGGCACCAGAGCCAAGACAACACCCCTTTTCCCCTGAACTGCCGCGGTAAAACCCTGATCCAACATTTCCAGATGGTGCCACCTCTTGTGTCCCCGGCTGGACACAAACACTGAGACCGCAGCTAAATGCGAGCTTTTGATGACACCAGTCACCCTGATTACCCCTCCGTCCAACTCCTTGCAAGCCATCGGGAGGGGTCTGAGGAGAACATGTGTGGCTGAAGCACTTGCTGTAGTAAGATGATTGTCAAGCTGAGCCTTGGAAGTGATTTCTGGAAGCTGAAGGAATAAATTTCATGGAGATTTGCCTTCCTCAACAAGCAACTGTAGCAATAACTATTGAAAAAACAGCCCTGAAACTCATTGAGGGAGGGAAACTGGCAAAAAAGAACTTTAAAACAGGTCTTTAACAGCAGCATAAAACTTTTAAGGGTTGAACATCACGCACTTGTAAAAGCAGAAGGTCTAGGTCTGCTGTGCAGGTGTCAGGAGTAATTATTTCCAGTTACTTATTGAGAAACACTTTAGATGTTTTGACTGTAAAGAGCTTTGCCAGAAAACTCCGACACTGAAGAGGTGGAGGGAGAGGCAGGAAAGAGACAGCAGAAATAGGAGAAAACACACAATACATTTACATTCTAGTGAAGCAGTTGCCGTTTTGACTCTTTTGTAGCCTGCCAGGGCTGATGACCTTAAAGGTCTGCCTTGAATTCACTGAAGCCAAGGAGAACCTTGCCTCCAGCAGGTAGTAAGCCGAGTTATAAAAATATGGTTTAATTTGATAGTCATCCTCACATTTGGAGCTGGATTCGGAAGCGGTCAGTGCTCACTGCCTGCTCAGCTCTGGAGCTGCTCAGATCTGGAGTCTCAGTTCTGAAATCACTGTCACTAAGTTCACCGTTTCCTGAATCCTGGAAGATAGACCTGGAAGTTCCCAGAGAAGCCAAATATGAGTCTAAATCCCTCTCTAGAGTCTGCACTGATGGTGAACCTGCAGCTCTCCCCGAGCTCTTTGTCCCACTGTCTCACTGCCTTGACCATTAAAAATTTCTCATAACAACCTGGAATTGCCTTGTCAGGGTGTAACCCCACCACCTTATCCACACGGACACGGGGAACAGGCAGCTCCTTTCCTTACAGCAGCAGCTATTGGTACACCCAAAGCCTGTTACCATGACCTTCTTATCAAACAACCTCAACGTTGAGCTGCCTCTTTTTGCCAAGTCAACCAAGACAGAGGAAAACCAACAACCCTGAGACCCCGTGAGTGGGGTAGCTTACTTACCCAGGTGACTAAGGGCCTCTTTATCCCATGGCCAAGTGGCAGCACCAGCCAACTCTTCCCTCACCGAACTGGCAAAGTAAACATTGAGGAAGTGGGTGCTGTTCAACTGCAGTGCCTCCTTCAGCTCCTTCACGCTCATGTACGCCCTGCAAGGACAAGGGAGAGGAGACAGTCAGCATAGACTTCAATGGAGCAAAGAAGAAAAGCAGGAGCCACCCATAGATATCCCGGAAAGGGTGCAACAGACCTGGAGGCCCCATCTTCAACTCTCTGAAACCAACAGTGTTTGGTAAAGCATGGCAAAATTCAGCAAGTTTCAACAGATGTCCCATGACACTACTAATTCTGCTCTGTGAGGTGCAAGTTCTGCTAGTGAGGGGGTTGGGTGGGAGGCAGTCGTGCAAATCTGAAGAAGTTTTGCTAATTACAGTAGCTTTGTTGATGAGTTCCGCTCTTAGAGAAGGTTTTCCAACAACGGGGACAGAAGAGAGCTCAGAGAATAGAGTAAAAGGAGACAAAATGGGAGGGGGAAAAATGAGAGAAGAAAGGAAATGCACAGGTCAGTCCCGCTAGGGAAAAGAGAAGGGGTTCAGAAAAGTGGGATTTGAGGGGGGTGAAAAAGTGAGTTTTCCTCAAGGTGTAAGGAGAGAGAAAGGAATCCAGAACTCCAGCTGGTTTCAACACGGGTTTTCAGGGGTCATCCCTGATACACGTCAGGGCAGGAATGGACATCAAACCTTATTCTTGGGAGCAGAGAGGGTTTGCCAGCTGGAGCCAAGAATTCTCTTCTGCTTCCCTAGTCTGTCTGGAGAAGCTCACAACCATGGCCCTCCACTCTCTCCTTTTCCCCAGGACAACCAGTATGCCAGAGGTGGCAGCGCATGGTAAGAACAAGGGGTCCCTGCAGAGCCCAGGCACATCAAGAAACATGCTACCTCGCCCCCATCCCTGTGTATTGTGTAAGAAAGAGCATGAGCAAAAGGTATCTTGGAATTTGCTCCAAGAAATCTCTCTTCCAGCTCTGCTCAAAACGGACCTTGGAGAAGAGCGCTGCCTGGGTCCCCCCAGCTCTGAGCCAACAGCAGGGCCCTCTTCACATGAGTCTGTCTCATCTGTCTCTCAGCACATGATCTGAATCCTCTCTGAGAGGAGGTCTGGGATCTCTGCAGGAGCCAGGCCAGGGAAGCACAGGAGCTCCCAAAATAAGCTTAATGGGGAGAGAAGGACATCTCTGGAGACAGATCCATCGAAGGGCATGTTTAGTGGGGAAAGCCTCCTGACAACACTGCTGGCTGTCTCTCCTCCCATCTCCAGAGCTGAGAATAAAGAGCTGCAGGAGCAGAAGAAATACTGGAAGGAGGATATCCAAGTCATCCATTTCTAAAGGGCAGGGGAAGGTGATGGGCTGGGAGAGATGGGTCAGCAATAGGCATTGCAGCAGAGCAGTAACACCCATGGATATGTCTAGGTGTCCAAGAAATGATCCTCACAACCCATGTCTCTCAGCACTTGGAGAGAAAAAACAACAACAACAACCCACCCCCCCAAAAAAAAACCCCCACCACAACAGTAAAGAAATTCAGGTTTCTCTCTCCCCTCTGCATGATTGTTTCTGCATAGGTCAGGGGTCTATATTGCATTCACCAATACACTAATAGTCCAGCATTGATGTTTAGGGAGTTCATGTCCTCAACTGTGTTAAGACAATCAGGATCTAACTTAATAATAACAATAATAATTCCAATAATAGCAGCAGTGGGATTGTAGGGCCTTGGGCTGCGCTGCAAATGCCAGATACTCTTAAATCAAGTACTACCGTTTCCACCATCAGTGCCACTAACCTCATGGGCTAAGACAGCCTTAGGACAGGTAGCCATAGAAAACAGTGTCTCCAAGTCTCTAAGACTTGTCTCTAGGTCTTCAAAACCTGAGGACCCTGACCCGTAGTTTGTGAAGCCATTAATTTAAGAGATTCTAAGCAGGGGAAAAAACTCATGGAAAGGCTTCAAATACATCACTGTGGAATGATGATGGAAATGCGCCATTGTGGAAATATGTCATAAGAATGACTAAACCTGCAGCATAAGGCCAACAGCAACATTAAGGTGGTGGAAAGCATTTCACTTATTCCCAGGCTTCCAGGAGCAATTGGCATCTTTGAGCTACACGGAGAGATTATGAAGGGAATGCGATCATTTCTTTACACTGGACTAGCCATGAAGGCACACCAGCTATGTTTGAAGGAGCAGCTTCTGTAAAAGTGGTGTCCATTAGCGCATTCCTCACCGTATTGAATTATGGAAGGAAGGACAAAAAGCTGAGCATGGGCTAAGGGGAAAAAGGCATGTTCTCGTCTGAGATGTGAAGTGAGACGGGAAAACAACGAGAGATGTGCAAATACACTGTTTGAGATGGCAAGTTCCCTTGTCAAGTTATTATACCAACAGACTTGTTTAGAAAGAGAGAGGTTGCTACAGCAAATGGAAGAGAAGGAGGAAAAAGTGAAAAAATAGAGGAACAGGATTCCAGAAGTAGACTAGAGCAGGATGGCATGTGGAGCAGGGCTCGGTAAACCCAAGGGTGGCCACTTCCCTGGATCTGAAATAGCAGAGAGTTGGGTCAGCCGTTGCTGACTCGGGAGGTGTCAGACAATCAGGATCTCCTGACTACCTCTCCCCTACCAGTCAGCCCTGGGCTGGAGACATCTCACCCACCTTCCCAGCGACAAAGCAGCTCCAAAACTTCAGTCACTTAAGAAAATCTTGGCTGGACTATACGGCAGCACTTAATGGTGAGATGAGATGACCAGCTTGTCTTCACCAGGCCCCGAGATCTCCCACCACAAAGCCGCATTCCCAGAACAACTTTCCCCAGCCACATCAGCTTGCGGAGAGAAAACTCTCCCAACCGGAAACGGCAAATTAGGAGAACATGATCTCTCCTCTGTGATGTCTCGCCTGAGCATCCCAGACACGCGCCACGCTGACGCCATCCCTTCAACTCAACCAAGACAGGAGCAGGCCGGGAGGAATAGATAGGGAGAAGAATAAATAAACCTGAAGGACATATTTGTGGCATGACTCGGAAGGAAGAGAAGCAAAAATTTCATAGAAACAGAGGGTAAAGGAGGGGGAGGGGGAAGAAAAAGTCTCCTTCATGCACCAGAGCTGCATGGGGGACACAGACTTAAAAATAACATTGATTCCTGACCTATGATATCTTGGAAAAATAGCCCCAAACCCTTCCAGGCTGTCCAAATTCCGAGAGCTGACGTCAGCCCTATTCAGAGGGATATTCCCGCCGCCCCTCTTCTGGAGACATGATGTTTTTCTGACTGTCGCCTGCCGTTCCCTTGACACTAGCAACATTTTTTGTGAACCCTTAATTATAAATAACTGTAATTTCCTCCATTGAGAGATTTGGATGGTTCAGGGCTGTGTCAGGGGTAGGGGGAGCCGTTCCAGCACCGAGAGGTGATCAGATGGATGGAGAAGGAGAGGAAAGGACCCCGATTTCACCCACTACAGCATGGAAAGCACAAATATCCTCCTGCTGGCGTCCCCAAAGACACGACCAAGACCAAAACAACTCTAGAATGGGCAACTCAGATTCCCCTCAATCCACATTTCCCACTGGCATCCTTAGCTTAGACAAGGAGCATGTAACTGGCGTCTTCGCCTGTCGCTTACTGCCAAGGTCACGCTCTCCCTCTTCTTCAGCGCTTCTGTGATTTTCCCAGGGGGAAGGCAGAGCAGCTTTCGGTCTCCACAAACAGCCTAAATGACAGCCCTCTCCTCTGCTCCCCAAATAGCTTCTCAACGCCTACAAGACCGGAGTATTCCAAACTAGATGGTATTTACAGCAGGGTGGGCACTGCAAGCCAACGCAGAAACACAAGGAAGGCCAGAAGGACACATGAAGGCACAACTATCAGCGAAGCAGCACAAAAAACAACCCCAAAGAATAGGGCAGAGGATAGAAAAGGGACAGAGAAGGGCCATCCAGATTCAAAGCAGATTTTTTCCAGGAGCATCCAAAACTCGTTGATGAGCAGCTAGCTGCGTGGTAATACCACCTTGACCTGGGGAGTATTCTCAACCCTGGGAGAGTGGAGCTTGCAAGAAGAGTATAGGCAACAGTAGAGAAAGATGAGGGATGGAAGGGCTACGGACTGCCGTTATTAGAAATGAGCGTGGGCACGAACACCATCTGAAATGATGGCATTTGAGGGAACGAGTCCAGATACGAGGGCCTTCCTCATGACGGTGCTGACCCATGATACTGTTGACTTAAAGTTCCGCTGAATGACACTAGCTGACAATCTGACTCTAAGGCAGGCTTAGGTACCACACTGCATACTGGTTTACTTGTGGGACTCATGGTTGGCAGAAAGTGAGATGGGAAGCCTGGACCTTGTATTGTTCTACAGCACTGATGCTTGTGTGGTCCTGGTGCTGGGTCAGGAGCACATGGCTCTGTATGGGACTTAACGATGTGCTGTCATCGTGTGACATTTCAGGTTATCGAAAAAAGGAAAAGATGATGAAGTGCAGCAGCTTCAGTGACCGTGTCACCATAGAATAATGGAGTCAGACTCATAACTGCGGATGGAGAGGACCTCTAAAGGTCCTAGTCCAACTCCCTTGTTCAAAACAGGTCTAACTAAATCAGGTTGCTCAAGACCATGTCTAGCTGAGACCTGAACAGCTCTGAAGACAGAGGTTTCACAATTTCTCTTGGTAACCTATTCCAGTATTTAACCACCCTCATGGTAAAAAAAATTCTTAATGTCTAATGCAAATTTCTCATGTTTTAACTTGTGTCCATTGCTTCCTGTCCTATCATCACGCATCTCCTCTCAGAGTCCTGCTCCATCTTCTCTGTCACCCCAACACATCAAATGGGAAAGCCATCAAATGACTACAGCTTTGCATGGAAAACTGTTACTGCACCAGACCTTACCACACTAAGGTCTAAAGACCCAAAGCTTCCTTTCTGATCAGTTGAAAAAAAAAAAAAAAAAAAAAATCACACTCCATCCATGATCCCAGGTCTCCCTGGAGAACCCTCACATCCCTTTCTCATGCTTTTCCTTGGACAATTTTGTCCTAGGCCATGGGGCAGACAGCATCTTTGTACTCGTGGA